GTATTTTAAATACAAAAACTTTTTTTGGATTTAATTGAATTAAAAAAAACTGTACTTTTTTCCTGTCCAGAATTTTCAATTGAGCAGATCCACTTTTAAAAATTGAACCTATTTTTTTATTGAATGACAGAAAATGTGCTTCATGCAATACCTATAAATGAACAAAAAGAAATTGGGCATGGAAATGAATTCGGATTCGCAAACGTTGAAATGGATCTTTTTTAATCAATTTTTGTTTACTGAGAGAATTAAGCCCATTTCTATAATGTAGCTTAACTTTTATCTTGGATTAATTTACTCATCTTTTTTTGATTCTAATTAGAAGATAAAAAAAAATAAGTTAAACCGAGATTAAAGTTAATCTTACATCGATAGAACCGGGGGCTAATTCTTAAAATTAAAAACAGATAAAGAGGAAGTTGGGCTAAAATTAGAAATTAATCTCTACATTAGCGGAAACAGGCATAAGTACAAAAAAAAAATGTAAACAACGCAAACAGATCTAATCGTGCGGATTAATTTCGCGCGTTTGCAAATCTGAACTACGAATTGCTACGTATTAATACCGCGCTTTATCTTGACGGCGCTCGCTTTTTAACGCGCAACGCGAGATTATTTGCCCGCCATGATAGCGTCTCTAAAATAATAGTGTTGTCGATTTCGCCCCTAACGTCGCGCACACGCACGCACACACGTATCGGTCTGATGCGATGAAGAAAGAATCAATTCAAGATGCGCTGATGCAAGTTTCGATCCGGTTGCCATCAGCCATCTACGTAAGATAAATGACCGTATCGAGAGATTTACCCCGTATGTACCGATTGCAGAATATGCCCAAGCAAAAAAAAGAAAAACAAAACACACCACGTTAAACGATGCACGATAAACAATATGTTTTACCAGCGTTGATAAGCGCGTCGCCATCGATTTCTATTTTTTTTTTTTTTTTTTACTTCTTAACACCCCCCTTTTCTATTCTCCTTTTGCGTGCACCATCCGCGGGAGAATCAACTATAATCGAGATGGGCGAGGAAGTGATTTCTCGAATCGTCGGCCTGGCACAAACACTTCATGTGAAATATTTCTTTACCTTTCTTTTCGATTATAAAGTAGAATAAACATTAAAACTTGCTATTGAAAAAGTTATAACAACGTTCATGGATGTTAAATTATTGAATATTTCACTGAGCCGAAATAATTAAGAATTAGTAATATCGAAATTTATTTTTTGGGAAAGTTGTATTATTATTATTATTATTATTAGGGATGTGTGTGCCGAATAGTGAATTTATATGGATAACCGGATTTTACTTAACAATTACACGAAGAGATTGGAAAAGTAAATATAACTGTTTTTTTTTTTTTTTTACAATAAAGCAAGAAGATTGCAAGTTGGAGATTAGAACTCAATTAATTGGTAAAACAAATATTTCAATTCACTCCAATTCACAGTTATTCAATCTTTAATGTAGAAAATAAATAGACTCAAGTAATACAGAAATATTATGTATGTTTTTCTTCTGAAAATATGAAATATATATGTAGCAGAAAATATATAGCAAATAATAAACGCAAAAGATGATTTTGATTTTAAAATTTTTTAAATTATATCACGTCACATACATTACAATAATCAAACGGTAATAAACATATTTAGTTAAATTGGCCACATATGAAATATCTTAATCTCACATGATGATGTTTTCAAAATCTATTAGTACCAATATTTAGTTACAAATTTGCCATAATTATCTTTAGTACAATTATTATTATCATTACTGTATATCTTTATTTTTGCTTCTTTTTGCATACGGTCTATTTTTGTAAATTATTGCGTTTTTTATACTGCTTATCTGCATATCAGTTATTGAATTTATATTTATATTCTGTTTCTTGTTCCGCTCATCTGCTTATCTGCGTATCTGTTACCAAATTCTATTTACTTTCAATCTTATTTTATTTTTATTTCTACTTCGGATTTAGGTTTTTAAACATAGCATTACTACAGATGCCTCGCCCATTGAATGTGTCTTTCTTTATCACGTTTATACTACTGCTCTTGTTTTTATGCATCAATATTATATATTAGTATGTTTATTAGTATACGCAATATAAGTTATTAATATAAAATTATTTTATAAGTTATATTAATATGAAAGGTATATATAATATTATTTTTCATTGCATTTGTAAAATTTATTTGAATAAATTTATTTGACTATCCGATCGAATTGATTAAACATCGGACAGTTACCAGATATCCGGCACATCCCTCTAATTATTGTAGAAATATTAAAACAATATTCTATATATTATAGTTAAGAAATGCGCCCTACGTTAACGAATGAATGTTACGAAAATGGGCCCCGACACAAGTTCAAGATTCGATTACAATTTTAGTATTTTAATCTTTGAAGAGGAGGGAAATATACAAATGATACATAAATTTAATTATCTCTTTCAATTTTCCATAAAAAATATGCAACATTTTTGTACGTTGTTACGTGAGTCTATTTCTATTTTCTACACTAGAGATTGAGAACTGTGAATCGAACTAATTAGATAATTTTCATCTTAATCTGTTGAATCCTATCTCTGCTTGGCTTAGGAAAGCGTATTTAGGGCAAACCTAGGAAAGGGTATCGATCGGTGTGACTCATTGATTTTAAGGAGGTCGTCCATTAAGAGCATATATGTATTATATCCCGTATAAGCGTAGTTCGAAAAATTTTACATGTCCCACCCTCCTATTTTCACATTCACAAATTCTTCGTATTCTTATTAAACTTTTTCTATTCACAGATTTTATTTTGAGACACTTACATAGTGACCAGTGAACTTTGCTTCGGTTTGAGATCCTTGCAAGAAGTCTGTATGATATCGGGTTGAAATTGCAGAGGTCCAGGCACAAAGTCTATCTCATGCGCTTTCTTTGTATTGGAATTTTCGTTCAGTGTCTAGTAATAAAAAAATTACAGAAAAGTGATACATAAAATTAAAGGAAATCTTGTATTATCTGCATTAATGCATTTTTTTTACTGTTCGTTCAAGTAAATGTACATATATTAACATTTTTATTTTTTATCATATTTCATATATATAACCGTGTAATGAATTTTCAAATTTTTAAGAGGTTTAGCAGTTTTTACCTTTATAAATTTTTTTTTTCACTAAAATTGATTTGATTCGCTATTTTTAATTAACGTCGATGTAGAAATTAAACTTAAGCAAATGAACTTATTATTTTTGTGAAGAAAAAAAGAAGGTAGAGGAAAAATTAAATTTATTTATTACAAAGCTTAATTTGTATATATATTGTATATATATCTCAATGTATTTTATGAACACACAATAAATTAAATTAAAAACAAATGCAGTATTAAATTGAATAAAAAACATGTGAAATATCATAATCATTTTTTAACAATTATAATATCATTTGAATTTGCTACATTTTGAACATGTTTTTTTTTAAAAGCTGATTTTCGTAATCCAGGTTATTTGGAGAATAAAAAATACACAAACAATTATATTATTCTTACCAAATCTACATTGCGCAGCTCGTAATTTTTTTCGCTTACTGTGCAAAATGAATTTGCCATTGTGGAAACGAATAATTCACTATTTTTCATCGAAGAAATTGGCCTCTTTGGTGTAGCTAAAATCGTATTGTAACTGGAATCTATGCTTCCGTATCTAGATAAGACAATAGAAAATATATACTTATAATTTCTGTAGATCCTTTATAAATAATATAAATGTGATAGATACATGTCACTATATATCTACATTATTATATCCATTATTAATATTAAATCTATGATTATACACGCTTTTAATTTATATACGTAAAAAATGTTAACAGCATTAGCCAACAGTAGTCTGATTGAAAACAATCCCGTTAATTCAGTGGTAATATTAATAAAATAAATACGCCATACTCTTGCTTTAACCTTTTCAGATCCGATTTTATTGGAATCGTGCTAAAAAGATTTTTTTAAATTTAATTCATGCACGCTTTAATAAGTAATTCATATTAAACAATTTTTTTTTTTCAAAATTTTGTCGTTTTTCCAGCATATACATTATTATATGTCGATATCAGATTCAGATGATACCGATATAATTAAATAATTTCAACGGATAATATCTTTAATTTGATGTACACTACAATGTACGTAGGATTTAAAAGAATTAAAACAATGTTATTTGTTTCATTAAGTAATACTGTTTTATTCATTACTGTATTATTCGTTAAGTACTATTTTGAATAAATAAGAGATTATTTTTAATTAGACTGCTGTTGGTCAATGCTGTTAATACAATATTATTTTTTTCCATATACATTATTAATTATATGGAAAAATACAATACATCTCCCTCTCGCAGATGCATTTCATGCACATCTTACATCAAAGAGCAGCTGGCCGGACTTGGATCTAAGTCGCTTGTGTCCGAATCGTCGAATATCACCAGTTCCGGACTCGTGCGAGATTCCGAGGAGAGTAACGGCGTGCTCTCGGATCCGCTGTCTCGCGTCAGCGAGGAGTCGCTGCCTGGGTAAACACGGATCTTATACATAATGCCTCTCTGAAGTTGAAAGTTGACAAAAAAAATATAATGCAAGAAAGTTTCTTTTTCCGTCTAACACTTCGGCGCTTCCTTTGAACGCAGCAGTTGCTCGGAATGGCGAATATCGAGCGGAGCATGCAAAGATGCACTAGGAAACACGAAGCTAAACGACGAGCATTCTACATCGCATTGAACTATATAATCATGCTGGATGAGAGATTTCTTCTTGCGTCATCGTCTTTTTTTTCTTTTCTTCTTTTTTTAAACACAAATCTGTTAAATACGCCGAATGCGTATCACCCCAAGAGGTGCGAGCACCAGATAACGGCTTCAATAACTGGCTTCTTACGACATTTACTGCGATTTTATCGGAATAACAAATGTGTCTTTCTTTGATCCAAATTATAACTGATTAATGACCGGGATCGCGTGAAAAGTTATCGTCGGGAATTTTGGCGGCACGATAATCCGGTATCAGCGTGTTATCCGTGGTCGCTGTGAAACTGAAAAATTTTGACTCACTATCTTCTTTTTCTTTTCTCTCTAACACGATCGATCACGGTCTGGTCCCCGTGATGTAGCCTGGACGACCGGCAAGATCCGGGGGGGGGGGGATTGAGAAGAACACTTCGCTCCCGTGGGAAGCGGTTACCGATCGCGCGCCCTCGTCTGGAAAACTGGGTTTTGGAGTAGGTACGTCCCCGTTTTATAAACTCGGACTTTGTATCAGTGGTATCCTTGACTTAGCACGCCTCCCTCCAGCCGCGTTTTTCACAACATGCCTCGCGCGCGTCAAACGAACGTGGCTAAAAACCGCTGATCAACCCGATCGGTTGTGACGATCGCATAATTTTCGCTGATTCTCTCCTTCTCTTGACCTTCTTCTCGGTACCGATGTTTTTGCGGAATTCCTGTCTTTCTCGTCCTGTATTCCATTTGACATTCACATATGAGAAGAACAATTGTGTTATAACAATTTTTAAGTATCTCCAAATTTATCACTGTTAAATTCATAATGTCAAATTACATCTAATTTGAGTTATTTTGTTATAGGTCGCCAATGTTCCTATTTAATATGTCGTTAATTTAATTAAAACAATAAAGTTGAACAATTTAACTCAAGAAAAATGTATTAAATTTGACATAAGTTTATCACTTGCTAAATGCGTACTTAATATACGTGTACGTGTATGGACATTGTTTATTTTAAAATTAATTATAGAAATGGGATTTACATTACATTTTTTTTTTGGTTTACATTACATTTTGAATATAAAAGTCAAAAATAACAAAATGTTATTTATAAGTCAAAGGATTGAGTTGCCATCGCTTCTTTGACATGTCACAGTGATTTGAAAATCTACACACAGATCTCAAAATAATTTTGTTAAACCGTTAAAATAATTATATAGAATTTTCAATGAGTAATGCTACAAAAGATTTTGACATTTTAGCAACCAGTTTGAACGACCTACATAATTATTTTGATGATACTTTTTCAAGAAAGATAAAGTGAACTACAACGAAACATTGATATTCCAAGGTCATAGATACGGAGATAACCCGGCGAAACACTTGGATTCTATAATTATTTCGATGATCTATTTGATGTTATAAGTGCTTTGAAGCATTCTTTAATTGATCAATTATCAAGTAAAATTTTTTTCTTCTAATTGGTCAATCAAATGCTTCGAAGCATTTATAGCATTAAGTCTTACCCCATTAAATCTCTGAAAGCTTAATTCTCTCGGAATAAAAATTGGATTGATGTGCGATTTAATATTGTTAGTTTTTTTTTTCTTTTTACAGGTCAAATTATAATCTAAGTGGAAATAGTCACTAACTTATTATCAAGCTAATCTGAATTGTCAACGCAAATCAGCTTGAGTGCTTATAATTGTGCTCGCTTCGCAGTTCATTCTCTTCTCACACATTGACTGTGCGAAATAACCCCGTGAATGACCTTCCGTCCATCTCAATTTCGATCATTTATGTCTTTCTTATTTACGTCTTTCTCGCGGGGATTCCCGGTATTTCTCGAAGTTCGAAAGTTTTTTAAACGAGATTTTTATTACGAAAAATTATATCCTCTCAATATTGAACGGTGCTCACGAAATACTACGAGGCTTCTCTTTTGTAGGAGTTAAACGTGTCTATCCTTTTTATTATTAACACTTTAAACGTCAAACTCGCGACCCTATCCACTTATCTCTTAGCGATGCATACGTAAGACGCTCGAGACTAGTCGCTTTGTACATTTGTTATCTTAATTCGAGCAATGTAAAGCATGCTGACGTAAGTCTATCGACTTCTTACACAGTTTTCAACTTAAAGCAACGAATTGGCACGTTGGTATATTCTCTCGTCTTTGGTCTATTGAACACTACAAGAATAAAGCCTTGCATTTGCAGAAAATTGTCACATGTCCATTTCTATTTTCTCTCGTTTAATTTCCGCGTTATTAATCTGCAAAACTTATCTCTATTACGTACGCAATTACGTTCTTTCATTGTTTTGCCTATTCATCCGCTCAGAAAGTCTACAATCTTATACAAATCGAAAATCTTCGTTATTGTTAGAACTAAGAAAATTGGAGCACAACTCGAAAACTGGAGTAACCAGCCAACGAGTAAACACAAATTCATATACGGTACATTTATTTCACATTATACACAAGCATATTATTCTCTTTTCAAGAATAGTTCTACTTGACATCAACTATCGCACAGATAGCATTTATAAACTCAGACATTTACAACATGTCTAAAAGATCTTGTAAAGACGTCTTTTAGATATACATGTCGAAAAGATGTCGAAAAACCGTCTTTATGACGTCTTTTAGATATGCGTGTTGTTGGGAAGATAATTTGATTAATTGAAAAAGGATATTATTTTTCACTTATAGCGAATTCGATTGGACGCCGTTAAAGCTATTGTACACTGATTTAATTTGAGTATAAAAGTGAAAATATTTCGAATTATAAAATGCATATTTTACCTCATAGTACAATAAAATGTATTGAGTTCAGGATTTAATCGATTTCTTTGTTTTATGTATAAACATATCTTTACGTTATTTTGTGTACGACGGCTTCAATGTGCACTAGTGCACACTAGTGCTTCCAATCGAATTCGCCATTAGAATATAACAAAAGTCTTTGTGTTTTTCTTATAGAAAAAAAAAAGATAGTCTTTTTAGTAATTGTTGAATGAAAAAAAAAACTTTTATGTAGCCAAGAAATCTGTCTTTTTTTACGCGCATATACAATAGCAAGATTATAATACTATCGAAAAGATATGATTTTCCGAAATAAATCTGATTTATGAAAATTAATTTTTCTAGAAGAACGCAAAAAACATTTAAGATTTAATAATATTATTTTAACATTGTCCCAAGTTCCCAACAATCATTTAAAAATAAGCTATAATATTTCGTGTTATAATTTCTGGTTAATGAAGAAAAAATTATACGAAGTTTCTTTGGAACTCGATCTCAATTTTCAAAGTAGCAACTTTGCGCGGATTTTAGAAAATGAGAAATAGATCCAAGTAGAGCACAAAATTACTCCAAAATGATTACTAAAAATCACTTTTCAATCATTTACGAATCATTTTAACGTTATTTTGTTGTTATCGTGACTGTTTTGCTTAGATTATAGAATTTGTAAATACTTATTAAAGGAGGAATTCCCTACATAATAAAATTCCCAAAAATTCAAAAACTTAATCAAACATCTTCGTAATGTCGTAATTATGAAAATGGAGTTACGCGTGGTATCGATATACAATTATCAAAATGTAATCGATCTCTAGTATTCTTTTTATTTCTCCTTTTCATTCTTTCCGGATTTCCTTTCTGCAGGACGCAGGATGTCCGCAGAATCCAACCCAAATATCAACGACTTACGGTACTTTAACCTTCCTTTGTGTCCTTATGAGTCGAAAACATTATTTTATAAATAGAAGAAGAGATAGAAGGAAATAGAAGAAGACTACTTTCCTTTTAGAAGACACAGTCAAGACTGATCGAGACAAACATCGTTCTGTTGGCATTCAACGAATAACAAAGGCTGCGGCGAGCATTAAGTGGAACGCAGCGAAAAGAAAGAACGACATCATTAAAAGGAAAACAGCCGAAGTGTTAACGACACTCGACAGTACGACAGCTTTAACCGCTAACGACTGACGACTGATGCCGATGCCGATGCTGATGGTCCATGGTCCATGTGATTTCGGCTGGGACGTGCACGTGCGCAGTCCCAGCTGGCGGCTCCCGCGATAACTGGCGGTTGGCGGTTGGCGCGCGGCGTGCGATCTTCCAAAATGGCGGCAACCGGGCACTCGTGCCCTTGCGTGTCATTGACAGACCAAGTTCGGTCTGCCGCCGACAGTTATCGGACGGCACGGACGGTTGTCGCAAGTGTTTGGTCTCCGTACAGTTTATCTCCTCGCCAGTTGCGACCAACAGATTAACCTCAATTTCCAGTTCCTCGCCTCACCGTTTCTTTTTTCCTTTATTAGTTGCAGCACTCCTGCGAAAGTACCTTGCGAGCATGACCGCGACGTCGGTGACGAGCCTGACGGTGAGCACCCAGGTGTACGAGGGCCAAAAGCCGGGCACCTCGGGCCTACGAAAAGCCGTCAAGGTCTTCCAACAAGAGCACTATACGGAGAACTTCGTGCAGGCGACACTGCACGCCCTGGGCGATCAGCTGACCGGCTGCACCCTCGTCGTCGGCGGCGACGGACGATTTTACGTGAGGGAAGCGGTGATGAAAATCATCCGAATTGCCGCGGCAAACGGGGTAAAGACTCGTAGAATAGATTGATATAATAGCAATAATAACGCAAATTCAGTCGCTCGCATTACACTAAATTAGTGAACGTTAAATGCAGTTATACATACATGAAATTAATGAAGTTAAATGTGGAAACATAAATATAAATACCCAATAATGATATTATCACTTTTAACAGAATACATTTGTATTATTTTAGTGTCAAAGTTGATTATATTATGCCATCGCATTTAGATACTTTATATAAAGCAGTCTTTTGATATGTATTAAGCGTAGTGTGAGTGAAATTCTAAGAATTAGAAGAAGATAACAAGTAAATTAAATGAAGATTAAAGTTAATCTATATTGAATAAAAATGAACATAAGATATACAGAAGAATTCATTGATGACAGCAATTACGTTTAACAGATTTAGCAAACTTGAGGTTTGATATTAAAAAACATAGATTTATGTAATTTTTTTTATAACACAAATATTATTGGACGACTTGACATTGACAACTTCATTTAAATTAAACTAATATAATTGGACAATTGTAAGGGATTATTTGATTATAAAATTATAAAATTATGATGTATAGACATCAGATATATTGTAATTTTTTTTTCAGGTAAGAAAGTTAATAGTTGGACAAAATGGCATTCTCTCGACACCAGCGGTGTCAACTATAATAAGAAAGTATAAAACGCAAGGAGGGATCGTTTTAACTGCGTCGCACAATCCTGGTGGTCCTGATGCCGACTTTGGCATTAAATTTAATTGCGACAATGGCGGCCCGGCTCCAGACAACGTAACGAATAAAATCTATGAGATTACTAAAACGCTCCAGAATTATAAAATTATTCCTGATATTAGTATAGATATTGACAAAGTGCAAAGTGTCTCTATTGAAGTGGATGGTAGACCATTTATCGTCGATATAATTGATTCTGTGAAGGATTATGTGGAACTTATGAAGGAAATTTTTGATTTTGCGAGTATTAGAAAATTATTACAAGGCGGTACAGATAAGCCAGCATTTAAAATTCTCATCAATTCAATGAATGGAGGTTAGACATTATATAATTCGTATTTGACTTCTGTTTTTATTATCTAGATATTGTAATAGAAGCTGTAATAATTTTCAGTTACGGGACCGTATGTAAAGCAAATATTTAGCACTGAATTAGGCGTCGATGAAACTAGCTTAGTAAATATAAAGCCATTAGAAGATTTCGGTGGTTTACACCCCGATCCAAATTTAACTTATGCCAAAGATTTAGTGAATGCTATAAAGGAAGGACCGTACGACTTTGGTGCGGCTTTTGATGGAGACGGAGACAGAAATATGGTAAGCAAAATTCATCAAAAAGTGAATTCTAAAAAATTAATCTCTAGATAAGAAATAGTTTCACTAAATTGTACTTACAGATTTTGGGCAAGAAAGCCTTCTTCGTTACTCCTTCCGATTCCTTAGCGGTGTTAGCTGCTAATCTAAAATTAATTCCGTATTTTCAAAAGACTGGTGTTAAAGGATATGCTAGATCAATGCCAACGGCTGCGGCTGTCGATAGAGTCGCTGTTAAAAATGGGGTAAAATTCTTCGAAGTTCCTACTGGATGGAAATATTTCGGTATGCAGAATTTTTATCTTACGGATATTACAAATTATCAATTTTATATTTATTCAATATAATTTTTTTTTTTATAGGAAATCTAATGGATGCTGGAAATTTATCGTTGTGTGGAGAGGAAAGTTTCGGTACCGGTTCCGATCATATTCGTGAGAAGGATGGAGTATGGGCATGTCTAGCCTGGCTCAATGTGATCGCAGGACTAGGAAAATCTGTGGAAAATATTTTATTGGATCATTGGAAAGTTTATGGAAGAAATTTCTTTACTAGGTACACACACATACACATACACAATCTATTATTTTTGAATATATATTTAAATATTTTTTAATTCAACGTTAATTTCTAAATTTCTGGATGTATTGTTACAGGTATGATTATGAAAACTGCAATTCCGCGTGCGCAGATAAAATGATGCAAAGCATCGAAACCCTAATTGAAAAGCCAGATTTTATCGGCAAACAGTTGCAGTACGAAGGTAAAGAGTATATTGTTAAGCAGGTGGATAATTACTCCTATACGGATTCTGTTGATGGTAGCAAAGCTACGAAACAGGTATTTTCTACAATCATATTAGTACGAATAATCTCGTATTTTTTTCAAGCTAGTTATAATATTTTGTTAGGGATTACGGATATTGTTTGCGGATGGCTCCCGCATCGTATTCCGTTTATCCGGAACAGGAAGTTCTGGTGCCACTATCCGTATGTATATCGATAGTTATGAGAATGATCCAGTTACTTTCGAAAAAGACGCACAACTTGTTTTAAAACCTTTAATTAATATCGCATTAGAATTAAGCGAACTTTGTCAGCATACTGGTCGCAACGCGCCAACTGTAATTACATAAGAGTTCGCTCCTTACGTTCTTGCGCTCTTCCGTTGCAGAAATCTCTTATAAAAACAATAACAATTTATAAACTCACAATATTAAAATAATAAAAATAAATTAAAAACGGGCAAGTGAGAGTCGTGCACAGTTATTGAGTAGTGCACAAATTACCAAATATAGATAATTATTAGAAATTCATTTATTCTACTTCAAACGTTTTGGTTTATCTCCAGGTCATTATCAGTGAATATTGTCGACATTTAAACTTTGAAGAATGTTTCTTAATTTCAACTGGATAATTCGAACACATCACTGGCAGATGAGTGTTTTTCTCGCATTTTAAGTGTAACGCAAGCGAATTTATTATACAATCAGAATAGGAAAATGTGGATCAATTATATGATTCGATACTGTATAATTTAATTAAGATTGTAACTTGGACTTTCCTAGCAACAACATTATAATTTAACAGTATTAAATATTAAATCTCATAGGATCATACATGTGAGATCACAATCAATAGGAAATAAATGCCTTTAACAGTCTAGATTTTAAGTGCTTGTATAATTTTGTGTGAATTTATATATTACGTATGTAGTCTTTTAAATTACTTTTGAAAGACAAACTCTAAACTACCGCAGTAATATCACGAATTAAATTGACTAGCAATTTAACAATTCGATACTCTTACGAATTTTAGAACATCGTTAATAATGTTGAATAATATATTAAAATCTGTAAATAATGAATTCCTATTACGAAAAATATTGCCCCGATCGGAAATCAAATCCAGATTTCGATATAACATTTCTTGCGAGCGTTCTAAGCCTTTAAATCACCGAAGCTTTAATATATTATAATTTAACGTTTGTTGAAGATGACTATCTTAATTTTAAATTTTGCAATATTGAATCATATAATTGATCTACGTTTTCCAACTACGACTGGATAGTATGGACAACTGCACATGACTCTCATTTGAACTGTCTTATCTCTCATTCAACTTTATCTCTTATTTATCCAAAGAAATTTATACAGTGAAGGTCCGGTTAAGGTATACATTTATTTGGATTGTAAAGGTTCGTCCAATTTCAATATTAAAATCACGAAGCAATAGCATAATAATTGTTACTGGCATCAATGAAGAAATTTTCCATTTTTATAAAAAAGTGTTACCGTTTTACGATTCCATCCATATGATGTCCATACTGTGCATATTGGACGAGAACTATTCAATATGCATATCCAAGTAGCAATTGTGAGAAAAGTGTTTTAGGATCTATTAGGATCCTTTGCTAGATATTTAAAGTAGATGTTATTGCTTGAATTCTCCTTACATCCATTTCAAGTTAAAGAATACGTAAACTTACTTAAATCTTAAAGTTTTGAGTGTATGAAAAATGTCGATATTATCCTTTTTGAGCATTAAGAGATAACTTTATAATTGTCTCTAATTATTGGGTAAAAATTTGATTGATAATTTATATATTATATATTTATTTGAGTTTTAATGAGCATTAAAATTATGCTTATTTATATTATGATATGGATATCTGGCACATGTAGAGAAACTATTTGTGTCGAAAAATCTTTGGAAAAATGTTTCGCGACGTATCATTACATTATATAATGATATTGTTAATATGCAATAATCTACTCGTTGTCGCAGCGTATGATAAAAAAAAACCCAAAATTTATCGTGCCCAATTAAGAATTTATAGATATACTCCAAAAAAACTGAGCACAAAAACGTCTTGTACTTACCTGTTATTAAAAATTATGTTATCTGTACATTATTTCGGCGACATGTGCATTTTTTTACTAATAGCTGACACTAAAGTTGATAAGACGCTTTCGTTATTATCGTACATTTATATTTTGCAGTCACAAAAGCAATGATATGTAATGAATGTCACCACGTGCATTCCGGTATGTAAAAATATAATTTGTAAAAATTACGATTTTGAATGGACAAAATAGGTACATTGTCAATCTTCCAAAGCTTATGTCTATCACGATTCATATCTGATATTCGTTCTATAATTTTCATTCATTTTCGTCCACGCACGTGAGTTCTACAGGCTTTTACAGTGAAAATACTATCTAATGCTTGATTTAATACTTTAGAAAAATTAATTTGATTGATATAATTGAATCGTTAATGATCAAATTAATATCCTGTGAAAGGGGAGAATCATTTACTTACTGGTTGATAATTTTATCCGCAATTTGTCAAGGGCATAAAGACTGGAATTCAATATCAGATAGCATAATATTGGAGGATTAACAAAAGCGTAAATTCGATATTGTCTTGAAGGACCAGTCTTTCCAACATTCGCCAAACTTATCACTCTGTCTGTATTACAGCCGATGCTACGATCCAGGCAGAGACATAAGAGATTTATTTGTCAAATAAAGTACTAGATTTTTTATCTGAAGATGGAATGACTGGCCCTGTGAACTGAATGTAGCGTAATGGATAATAATAAGCGGCTTTAATTTATTCTGCTTAACAAAGTAAACATTTTATTAATAAATTAAGTCATCGTAAAGAAAACGTCACTGCGATCCACAATGGGTGGTGATGCTGCTTTCAAATTTTAATGATATATTTCAGAATCCTTTTTCAGATTATTATACAAAAATTATATTTGAGTCTAATGTTGTAGATTTATTTATATCGATAAATTTATACTTAAATTGGAGTGAAAAAGATATAAATCTTTTTACACTTCTTGTACAGTAGCATATGTAAAACTGCCTATGTAAAATTTATACTATTTATTGCAACACAAGCATAATACGAAGAGAATATTAAAATTTAAAAAAAAACATTGAAGTTTTTGTAGATAGTAGTGTACAACTGTAAGAATCTTTTTTTTCATCAAAGCAGTCATCCATTGGTCTTTCTGAAACTTTCACATGTTCATTAATACGTACAAAGCTGGCCATTTCATTATGATTCACAATTCTCTTCACTACTACGAACTGCAATTTAAATGCATACAGTTTTCTCAAAGTACTTTTTTTACTTATTTTTGTCATGGTTATTCCTTAATCATCTGATCTTTTTACAAAAATATATTTTATTACTTTACTTGTTTTCTCAAAACAACTCAGTTCTGACATTCGAATATCGAAAGAAGCATGGATGCTTAAATTGGTGAACTCACCAAAACCTGAGAAAGCCAGCAGGACCTTGTCATAATTTCTCAGAATTTGGGCGACCCCAGATATAGCGATGTAGGTTTGCAAATTCGAGTTTAGCGCGATACTCAGCGTTTTACAGCCTTCAAATAAGTAATTATTTAAATGAAATGATGCAACGGAAATTTTCATGCATTTTCTGCATTTTGTTGTGCGATATATTTGTTTCAGGACCATACAAGGACAACATAATTCACTGAGTATCTCGTTAAGATTAATCGATAGAATAGAATACGTTAACGAATTTGTACAAAGAACAGTAGAATGGTTCAGAAAAGAAAGAATTAAATTTCTTTCGAGAAGGGACAAAAGTCATAACAAGCACAATTGATGCGAAATTCTACATGTAACAGTATGTCTCCACGTAAGAAAAAAAATGAACAATAGATATAGTAATTTGAAAGTATGAAACACGTTCGATAGTTATGAGAGGCACTTTACTGTATCTCGCGAGTAGATGTCTCGACTATCGATAACTAATAACTGCACAAATGTATTATATTACTAGTTTTCCTTTTCTTTTCATTTCGTCTTTGCTTCTTTCTTTTGTACGATATTTCACTATGGGCCTTTATATCGGAAATATCACATAAGCTCGTTTTACATTACGGGAAAACGCGCGATCATGACTCACGTTTCATTTCGAATGAATTGAATAAAATTTTCACGAAGCCGGTGTAGCGATACGCCGCGGAGATAAATAAGAATTACGGAACAAAAACAAAATAAACGATACCGTTTTTTTTCCTTCTGTGAATAAATGCAGCGTGTTACGGAGAGATTTCGCAAGGCAATTATGTAAATAGTTGACGGTGAAGGAGAAGGAGAAGAGGAGGAGATACTTAGGGACCTGAGCCGACACACGCCCCCGTTTGATCTGTTAATTACGTTCTAGAAAAATACAAAGGAAAGAAAGACAAAAAAAAAAAGAGAAAAAAAGTGTACACTCCGAATATTCTTTAGAACGTAATAAAGATTACTTAACGCGGCGGCGATGTCACAGAGACCAGCACAGAGACTGCCGATTACTATAAAGATATTAACATGTAACATTTGTATCATAATCATAATAAATACTAATTATCATTATAAGTATATGAATGAGTAGCTGCTCGGAATGCACGTGATATGATTCATCGCTGCTCCAATTTTTCTTTATATCGTTCCACATTTGTCTAATTCTGATGAAGTATTCCTAGCGTTCCTAGTACGATATAAATGTGTTCTCCTTATCAATTAATCGAATCAGTGTCAGCGGAACGTGTAAAAATGCACCTAACTGTACTTTTGTTTGCAGACTAGCGCTAGATGTGATCATACTGATTTTCAGTACAACACATATCTTGAATGTGATCTTCATGTTATAAGCAGAGACTGAACACCGAAATAAAAAGACTAAATAGTAAAGTTGAATATTTAAAGTAAATATCTAAAGTAAAGTTAAAAATTTGATTGGTTCGATTTTTATTTTAGTTATTATACAAAAAATATTGATATATAGTTGGTATTTTTTAAACTGTTTGCAATCTCTGGTTATAAATAAAAATCAATGTCTCATCTGCGCTAAACTTTAAGTAATAAAAATCTTCGATTACGTCAATGCATTCTTCGTGCCCTTATGTTTAAGCGATTATGTTCAAACGACATATACAATCTCAAAATAGTGACAGCTAATTCGACTTTTAATAAATTTATCTCATTACAAGGAATCTATGTGTATTTTATTATTTTATTTATAAGACATATTTGTATTTGTATTTTATGGGAATCCGGATAATATTACAAGGAAAAAACACAACTTTTTATTCATTACAACTATAAAAAAAAGACCTTTTTACAAACAACGATAGTGTTATTGTGGAGTTGATATTAAAAGCAATGTTTAAGATATATGTTTTATAAACAAAAAATAAGATGTAGATTATTCTCTTCATTAACAATTTTTTTTATATACATTGACAGTTTTTTTTATATACATTGTTGCATACCAACAGTCTTTTTTGTAAAAAAAAAACAAGAAAAAATTCAGTTGATCTCATACTATATCAAAATCATCCCTCTGTAAAACAAAAATACATATGTGTATTACATATAATTACGAAAATATAATTTAACTGCAATAATGTATAATAAGAGATGCTGAAAGAATTCTCACCTCGTTATTGTATTCCAATACATGTTTCTTAATAGCAGATGTGTCTACCCATGTTACAAAGTCTTCTAAATTTCTGTAATAAAACATACAACTGATATCGTTTTATGTTTCTTCAATATTTGTGCAGTGAACAAGACAAAATATATTACCTTGTTACTAAAAACGCTGGGTCTTTTACAACTTCTACTCCGACTCGGACATGACCCTGTTCTATCAATTTTGTCGCCATGAGTATTGTCTGACTCATCTTGTTGCGCACCATAATGACTGGGAGTCTTCGTCTGCAGAAGCAACTGGCGGTTACTTTCTGTGTCTGCGACAAGTCCCATTTGGTGGAAATCAGGCCCATCATATATAGCTTCTCCAATAATACGGCACTTTGCTCAATACGAAAAGGATGGTCAGGCTCGACTTCCTTAATCTTCCTACCTAACTCTCGTATATCTCGTGATAGTTTGTTGTATCTACAATTCATTGATAATTATCCTTTATAAAGATAAATAGCTTCAGCACTCTTTGCACTTATCTTAAAAATCTTGCTTTAAAAAGCGAAAATAAAAATAAGAGCATGAAGTGTTAAAGTTCATTATTTTTACACTTATTTCATATTATACAGTCCTAATAAATCGTTTATTATTGTTTATATATGCTGCCTGAAAATATGTATATTCCTACATGTTTAATTATTACAAAGAATATTATTAAGGCCTCTGTAGTTTAAAAGCTAGGATCTCACACGGAATGCTAGAGAGTCTTTGACTCTCAGCTGAGGTAATATTTTTTGTAATAAATTTATTTACAAATTTTCACAGTACAGTTAAAGTCTTCTTAAAATGATGTCGATTAGGTATTAAATTATTAAATTGCTCGCAATTTAATTTGTGACACTACTATAGTAGTTCAGTTGCGTTTCTAAATCCAAAAAAGGAATTCAATACGCAACTTGAGAGATTATGTGTTTTATATAACTTCACATGAAATGATATTTAAATTTCAAAATACTCAAGATCTAATTTCGACCAGTATAAAGGTGTGATATTGGAAAGCTTGAAAGTTAATGTGATTCTGAAATTTGACCAAATTCCGTTGCTGTAATCGAGATAACCAGATTCTTGCACTTCTTTGTGATATCTTCGTTTTACGTATAAGATCGTTAAAGTCCGCTTGCATTGTAAAGTGAAATATACACTAATTCGCTTTACATTGTAACAAATTTAGACCTTGTTAATTCCGTTTGAAACAGTTCTGTCGATTCCATGTCGTACACTTCAAATATGACTTCTTGCTCTTTTTGCTCTTCTGAGCTTTTAAATGAACCGCAGAATCGTGCCGGAATTATGGTTGGCACATCGGCATAATCGATTTTTTCGCGAATATTGCAACGAAAACCATAAGTACGTGGTTGCGTTTGATAAAAATAGCAAGAATCAATACAGTGTTCACTTTGCGGCAATCAAATTACTAGCGAAACATATTTTATCCGATATTTCTTTCGTTTATCGATATTTTTTTCGTTTATCGATATTTTTTTCATCATATTTCCATGCGAGTTCATAGCACAGTAACAATAATAGCACACAATCTCTGGCACATACTACAAATTTGGCACATAAAGCATAACAAAATAATCTGAAAAACCTTCCACAAAATTTTCGATATCGAACGCGAATATTTTGACGATACATATAAACCACACAAATAGCAAAAGTTATTACGATTCGGGCAATGCATCCCCTTTACTTCTTTTTTAATTTGTACTTTGTTTCATCAACTTATTTTGCTTTTGTTTTGTCGGACCGCGGTTTGACAAATTCTAAAACAGCGAGAAATACCCAAAACTTATGCGCATATGATTGTGGCCACGGGCCGACTTACAAATCATTTCATCTTTGTTGTTTGTCAAATGTTAAATGAAGACAAATGATAAAAGCATTGTCAGCATAAATCGGATCACAGCCTATAAAGCAAGAAAATGTCATCGCGGCGCATGTTCGTATTGCAGTATTTTGCGGCTAGCAGCCGCAAAAGATTGAGATTTTCCCGTTAAATTTAACAATTAATATCACGGGGCAGAGAAACAAATTCACTACTTAATAAATAAAATCACTACTTTATAAACAACTTCATTGATTTAAAAAGACAAATTTACTACTTTAAAAACACAAATTGTTTTTATATATTATTTTTGTGTCTTGAAAGCAGTAAATTTGTTTTTAAAGCAGTGAATTTATGTTTTAGAGCAGAGAATCTGTTTTAAAGTAGTGAATTTGTGTTTTAGAGCCGAGAACTTGTTTTAAAGTAGCGAATTTATGACCGCAGCTTGAATGCTTGAGTACTTCGTGGCTGTGACAGATTTCCTAACCTCAATAGTCGTTAATTTTAACGCTTAATATCTCGGTTTGCAAAGCAGATCCAACTTTTTTCTTACAGATTCTTTCGTTTCATGCAGAAACGCGTCAAATGAGCCTAATTTCATCAAAATCGGAGATAAGGGAAGCATTCTAAATAATTACCTATTAATTTAATCATTTCACTTACACTGTATAATCCGATCTTCTCTGAATACAATAACGTTTCAAGATTTTAACCTCGTGGAGATTGTTGTCAACCTGCCAAGACAAGAAATCTACTTTTTTCAGCAACTTCTGCTCGTGATACTTCAGTTTTCGCACCATCGTGATCGTCGATAGATTTTTCGAGCGATGTTAGCAACGCCGATCACCGTAACACAGTGTAATCAGAGCCAGTAGCGATAGTGAACTTTTTTATGGCTGCAATTTTTAATGCGCATGCGTCGGTTTGTACACTTAGGAATATGGCGGACGTATTAGAAGCTTAATAGAAATTCAAATTTAAGAGCCTGTTCTATCATAACTCTACTGTGTACTCACCGACGAGATACTATTAAAGACTGTCAACCCTGGACACATTTTCGGCAATATAAAAAGGCCCAAGTAATTGCAGAAAAGAAAGCAGAGTAATGACTGCAGAGCTGTGATTAGTTACGCTGTTCCGTTTTGCAAATAAAATTTCCGCTTACGGAACGGCGGCCTTAAACCTTGCGTCCACGATGCTAGAAATCGGACCGAGATCTCGGATGAAGAAAGAATTAACCAATCGTAATGATCATGTGATCAAATTGTTCAAATGTGATTTGTTAATCTTTTTCTCTGTCCAAGATCTCGATTCTCGATTTCTAGCATCATGGACATCGGGTTTTGGGGAGGCTCGGTTCGTCGGTTTCAAACTAACCTGAGGCTATGGTGTGATACGAAATTCGCGATTCCGCGAATCAAAGAGAGTCGTAGCCGAATTTGTCCAAGTTACCGATTGGTTAAAGGCGAGCGCTAGATATTCCGATTATAATGGATTCCGAATCATTCCACGGTTGCTCTCCCGCTTTTCCTAGATAAGCGACGAATCTTTCTAATACTTTGAGACAATCGGGACAACTTGCGACGGCATGCAAAGTGACAGTTAATGGTTCATTGTCAGTTTATGGCTTATTTTAAAAGAAAAACTTTTTTTTTGTTTAATTGGATTAAAAAACTGCATTTTCTATTCAGAATTTTGAATTGAGCAGTATTCATGATGCATACAAAATACTATAATATTATTTTTAGATTAAAAAACATAGAAATATACTCCATGCCATTCCTATAAATGAATAAAAATGCATTCAAGATTGAAAAGGAATAAACATTTGTTTCGTGTAATTTTTGTAAATGAATAAAAATGTATTCAACATTAAAGGAATTCATTTTAACATTTATGAATTTATTTTAACATTTATGAATTCAAGAATAGACCCTCAGTGCATTAATTCGCTGAGTTATAGTAGCTGTCCGACTTATCGACGTTTATTTTTTATTCAAATATTATCAACTTTACAGAAAAACTGCAAGAGACAAAAATTATTTATTTTTTTCTTACAAAGAGTTTTTCTTTCTCTAAGAATTTTTTCAGAATTTTTTAGCAACTTTTTAGTATTGCATTTTCTTATTTTCGATAAGTCGAGTAGTTACTATGACCTAACGAATTAAGGTACTGTACTATACATGCAAACACTGGTACGTTGCATTTACGACTGTCAAGAATACTAGGGATTTTCTATTGCGAGTATTCGCAACTTACCATTTACGTATACGCAACTATTTCAAGAATATATCCTTGGCTCAAGGGTAAACTTTTTTCCTAGGATGAATAGTGAAAAGTGAAAAGTGAAAAATTTTTCCATTAACTTCAATGATTAAAATTTTCACTTTTCACCTTCCATTTTAGAGATAAAATTTCATGATTGATACTCAGGGCCACAACAAGTTATACAAAGGCAAATCCTTAATGCTGGTGCTTTAACGGATAAATTATATCTCTTCATCTTATGTATATGTACATTATTGTAAATCATATTACTTGTCGTAATGCCTTTGCTCAATACGAACTTTGTTTGATTTAGGCGCAAAATTGACGGTAGATCCGAAAAAATGTAAATCGCCACCGAACGTTTCCGTTTCTAAGGGAGGAATAGTCGATCCACAGATGGTCGTGAGTCTTGGTAATCTACCAAGTAGTATAGTCAGTTCGTTGGCGAATAATCAAATATCGATCGCGAATTCGATGGACGGTTTACAATCGTCCATGAGTATGGCCGGAAGTAATTCCACGATATTGATTCCGGGCGGTATGAATTCCGGTTTAGTGATGACTAGCACCGCTAGTGGAAACAACATGGAAGGAATGGCTGACGAGAGCTTGATAGGAACAAACAGTTTGAACAAACAACCTTTAAATACAGTATGTTGATTTATGTAATATAGTAACTTTTTCTCTAGTCTAAAAAGATTGATAAAATCGTACATTTGACCAAGAATCTTTTGAAGGTAACCATGATGGGCCCTAATACTCAAGCAATACATCATCCCGGTGCTCCTCACATGGTTACGCCAATGCAAAACGATCCTGGAATGATGAACACAAGAGCTGTTGCAATGCAGCAACAACAACAAGCGCATATGGTTGGTCCGGCGAGAGGGCAAAGTCCTCATCAACAGGTGCATCAAGTTGGCATCGTCGATCCCGGTCAAGGTGGTCCCAGAATGCAGACTCCTCCTAACATGGCAAATATGCAGACTATGAGGCAATTACGTGCGAATCCGTATAGCTATGGTATATAAAACATATCTTCTTTTGTTTCATATATATATGAACGAAAAAACGAACGTTGTCAATAGAGGCAGATGCAGCACGATGAAAAACAATTTATAATACAGGTTCTCCAAATATGGTTGGACCAGGGGCAGAAGTAACTGTATGCTCCAATAATCCCGTAGGTGTCGTCAAACCGCAGCAGAAGGGCGTTGGAACAAACATGAGTCCCATGCAAGCGGCAGCCGCTGCTAGCAGATTTACTAGTGCTGCTGGTCCGATCGGTACTACGAATGTCGTGGGTGGTCAGGAAGGTGGAACGGCAGCACAACAAGCACAGCCACCAGCACCAAGTCCAGCTCAACCTCAATCAGGAGCACCAACTGGAGGGCAGCCAGGTCCGCAGCAAGCTACGCGAAGGCAAATGCCTGGTGCTGGTGCTTGGGGTAAGTTGAATCTCT